AATTTTCGACAACCAAGCAAGAGTCGAACAACAAATAAACAAGACCATCCCAGCAACTAACAAGCTGGATGAACACCAACAGAATCCCCGACACAAACTAGACAACCACTCCCAGAAAAGACAAAGACAAAAATAAGAGAAAGTATCTTAACACACGGCGCATAAGCCACCTGAGCAGTAAGCTGCCACCACCACCAGTCCTACGCAATGGACTGTACCAGCCTGATGGGGGGTTTATACTCATTTAGTCCGACGCATAGCGGACTGCAACTACCAGCCTGATGGGGGGTTTATACTCATCCAGTCTTACGCACAGTGGACTGCAACTACCAGCCTGATGGGAGGTTTATACCCATCAACCGAAGGATCGACTACCGTCAGAAGGAGTATCCTGAGGTTCTACCATGTGTCAACCGAAGGGATCGACTACCGTCAGAAGGAGTATCCTGGAGGTGCACAACACACTTTTCCCTAGAAGATCAACCGCCGCTAGACGGAACATCCGAAGAGTAACTGGGCAAGAGGGTTAACTCCTTTATCCTCCAGTCGATCTTCTTGGCACGACAGGCCAACAATCGACCAGTCAGGTAAAGGGGGGGCAGCTGTAGACCCCAAATCTTGCTCGGCCTCAAAATAAGAACAGAAGATCTCCTATTCGAAGATGAACGAAGCCTAAGAAGCCACTAGGAGAGACTATTAGGCCCCATATTAGGATAGGAAGTATTTTTTGTATAAAAATAAGGATTTTCGCCTTCAGGAGTCGAGACCGCCGTCTCGCCATTGATGCAAGTCGAGACCGTCGTCTCGTTTGGCGAGACGGTCGTCTCGCCACTTGCCAATGGCGAGACCCCCCTCCCATTTGGCGAGAAGGCCTTCTCGTCACTTGAAAAGTCGATACCGCTATCTCGCCAAACGAGACGGCCGTCTCGCCACTTTTGCAAGTCAAGACCGCCGTCTCGACCTTGTCAGTCGAGACGGTCGTCTCGACCTGACATGCGCGAATCCCTATAAATAGTGAGCGCTCCCCCCCCTCATTTCACATAGTTCTTCCACTTTCCCTTCTACACTTTCTTCAAATTCTCTTCCTAGAGTCCCTCCAAAGCATTTCTGGAGTTTCTGAGAGTCTTAGAGAGCCTTTTATAGCGTTTCGAGAGAGTTTTCGGCGTTGTAAGAGCGAAGGGCTGCCAAAACGCACCCTACTTTCAAGAAAATGAATCAAAAGCTTGCCTCGGAAGTTTCTTCATTCTCTCCCTCTCTTTTACTGTCTTTATTTTCATGATTAAATTACGTAATAAACATTAGGGCCATGTAGTCATTATTTTAATTCCGCAAATAAAAAAGGGTAAAAACATCTTTTCAACAGTTCATTTATAAAATAGCTAGCCTTTCATAGGGAACCCGAAAGGGGCATCGTAAGGGAACTAACACTTCCCTTACACGTAACTAACTCCCTTACCCAACTCTGGTTTTAACGACCAAAGTTGGTTTTTCGAAAAACCAACGCATTTTTCCTCCTTTTTCGATGTTTCCGGTAAAAACATCGGTGACGACTCCATAAGAACCCCTTCAAATTAGTTCTTAGGTCAGTCTGGTTATTTGACGACCTAAGAACACCCTTTCGAAAACCTCGCCCTTAGATTTAGCCCGATTATCGGATAACCTAAAGGCATTGTAACATCACCCATAAAAACGCGAAAAATGGAAAGTCGGAACTATCGCATCGCTCCGACCGCCTCTTTTTTATGGTGGCGACATATATATATTACTCTATTGTAGATAATATACTCATATTGTACTCGTATGTCTCTATCATTTACTTTAACCATTAAACATGCACCCTAAGACTACCATAGGCTAAGCAAGTTGTTGAAGATGACAGTACTCAATAAAAAAAAAACAAGCGCAATTATAACTTTATGTGATCGTGTTAAACAAAGATGATAGACTTGATATCATTCTATAGTATATAAAAGAAAAAAATAATGATGTGTCTAAATTCTTACCGCGATAAGACCTTAAAACACAAACAATGATTCATATTTTAAATATACAAATGCATTACTAACACAAAAGAATTTATATTTCATCCTCATCAAAGATGGAGATTCACACCTAAGAAACTTTTTTCAACTAATTTCACAACATGTTTTATTTAAATTTTGAGTACGGAAAATGATGTGGACATAAAGGCCCAAGCCCATAACGAGAAGGATCAAGACCAAGATCTAATCCAAGACTTAGGTGGACCTATGACAAGAGGCACACTCGAGAAAAACACAAGAGGCATTGCAATACAAAGTGACCAATTTGCTAAAGGCCCAACTATTAAAAGATCCAAACATGGAGGAGTCTAGACCTATCACATGCATAGAATGTTTGGAGAGCTAGGAGACCCAACTAAAAGATTTAGTTTTTATTATTATTTTATTTGCTACAGTAGGGATTTGAACCCAAGACCCAAAACTTATAATGTCTTCACTGAACCATCTAGGTAACTTAACTTTGTTTAGGATATTAGGATTTTAATTTATCTTTATTTCCTGCAATGAGACAAACTCATAAATTTAAGTTGTATTGAACATTTGGGAATTCAGAATGAACGTACGTAATATTCAGAATCACTTTGTGAGTTGTTGCTCTTCTAGGGTTCTTCCTTGCATCACTTGATCTTATCAAGAATTATTCGATTCTTGTGGCGATCCTTCTTGACTTATCAAATATTCTTATTTGTGGCGCCTACGGTATCTTTTATGTTTTTCTGTTTTCTATTTCCAATCAAATCAACTCTTAAAACCTAACCCTAAATTGTTTCCCTTCTATTCGAGTGTCGTCAGAAAACTTTGCATTCGAAATACTCTAAATATAATTTAGATGTCTTATAAATAAATTGGTAAACACACAAATTGATAAACCTAAAAATTTGGTTATCTTCAAGTATATCTCTATATAATATTAATTATAATAAATCTCCTAAAATATAATTATTATATCACTATTCATATAATTTTTCCTAAAAAGAAAGGTCCCAACTATATGATAACATCTCAATCACATGAACTATCATTTATCATTGTAACTCTTACTTGCTTTAATGGTTTATATTATGTTGATCAAAGTATCATCGTGGATGGACTTCCATTTGATTCTTCCTAATATCTCATTGACATAAAATTTGTTTTCTCATTCCGATCCATAGCTTAGACTAGAGATTGAAGTTTTCCACCTAATTAACTAATCAATTAGAGACGTTTAATTTTTTATAATAACACCTGTTGAAGATTGTTGGCAGGACGGAGTGTCTATCCCACCACCTGCTGAGTACATAGATAGGGAGATTATGAAATATCAACGACCAAATAACCAAACTTGAGAGTAGAATGAGTTCTTTGTATTTTTACACCAGACTTTTATTTAACATTTGGTAAAACAGGTTAGGTTCGACGGACTGACTTCGTTAACTTGTTTTAAAATTGGCAGGACAAGTTATAATTTTAGTCCATCAATCTATTTTGGGCAGTTCCGCTTAACCCGTTAATCTGTTAGGTGAAAGATGGGGTAGGAGAGCTTACCTGTTGTTATGCTTTTGAAAAATTTATATATTAAAAATAAAATAATAAGAATTATAATTAAAAATATTATGTTTTTATGTTATATTATTGAAATATCCAAATATATTATAATATTATAATTTAAGTTATAAATATTAACGAATAAACCTTAAATTATTAATTAGAATTAGGTATTTTAACACATAAATATTATTATTATTATTTTTAATTTATCTAATAAAAATATTAATTAATAAATAAAACTTAAAAACTATTCATATAATTAAATTTGTATTTTAAAAAAATACATAAAAAAATTGGCGGGTTAACCCATTAGCTCATCAACTCATCCTTTGACAGGATAGACTGAGGTCTGTAACATATCTTGACTATGATGGACTAACTCATCTCGTCTCGTTTTTTATAGGTTAAAGGCGGACTGACCAAATAGGAGTGAATTGATTCATTTTGTCATCGTTAATTAGGATGAAAATTAGGTTAAAGACTTATATTTCATTAATATCGACTCTCTGTTATTTCAAATTTAGATAATTATTGTCCATGTTGTCATTGATAAATAAAATATAAAGATAAAATATAATAAATTTATAAAATTTAGATAATTCTATTTCCATGTTATCATCTAGATAATTATTGTCCATGTTATCATTGACAAATAAAATATATATATAAAGATAAAAAATAATTTATAAAATTTAGATAACTTTATTGTTTGTGTTATCATTTAGATAATTATTGTCCATATTATCATTTCACAAAAAATATAAAGATAAAAAATAATAAATTTATAAAATTTAGATAATTCTATTAATTGTTCTTGATATCATTTAGATAATTATTTTGCATGTTATAATTGACAAATAAAATATAAAGATAAAAAATAATAAATTTATAAAATTTAGATAATTCTATAGTTCATGTTATCTTTGACAAATAAAATACAAAGATAAATAATAATAAATAAAATACAAAGATAAAAAAATAATAAATAAAATATAAAGATAAAAAAATAATATAAAAGATAAAGATAAAAATAAAAGATAATAATAAGATAAAATAAAAGATAAAGAAAAAAATGATTAAGAATTAAATTTACAAAATTAAACGCATAAATAAAATATTATCTAGTAGAAACATACGTGTGAAGAATTAAATTAAAAATTTAACAATAAATGATCAAGAGAAAAACATTATAAAGAGAAAGGGGGCAACAAAAGTATTAAAAAAAAAAGATAATGTGAAAAAAGAAATTATTTGAAATAAAAAAATGAAAAAAAAATTCAAATGAAATTCATTAACCCGTCTGCTTCCCTTCTTCTTTAAATAACAAAATTCTCCTCACATTTTGTTTTACACTCCTCAGTTTGCAGTCTTCTCAGTCATCACACTCCTCCACTGTCAATCTTGCAAAGTTTCCACCTTCGATCGAATATGGAACCAAAAGCTATGGCTTCAGAGTCGTTTGGAAGGTTTAATATTTCTCCGTCTCAAGTTGCATCCATAATCGATCATTATCTCTCCGCCAATAATTTCTCCCTCACGCGTGCCACCTTCCGAATGGAGGCTTCCTCCCTCTTTGCCAATTCGCCAGTCAACCAGGTTTTCTTTTTCATCCTTTTAACACTCCACAACTCTTTTTGTCGTTCTTTCTCATCATATTTATTCAATTCCTCAATTATTGTCTTCTAGATATCCAAGAATATGGTAAATTTGGAGAAAATGCTGGATGATTATGTATCTTTGAAGACACAACAGTTACTGTTGGATCAAGCGAGGCTTGAGGTGACGCAAGAAAAGATTAGAGTTCAGAAATTTTGGCAGGGCACAGAAAATGTTCTCAACACTTACAATGTCTCTCCTCGGCCAACCGTGTCGAATGATGTTTTAATGAACGGAACCTCAGCTGTTGTTCCTCCCTTCAGGGTTTGTAATAAAATCACTTCAGGTACAAATTTTTTGTATGGTTCATCATGAATTGAAATATATTGATCATTGTTGCACATTATACCTAGTTTAGATTGTAGCAATCATGAATGCTTCGATGATGAGTTATTATTTTCCATTTTTTCTAGGTGTGTTTAAGAATACGAGTACCACCATCCCTATCCAAAACCCACTCAAAAGAGTAGCTACTCAAGCAATAGAGAAGCCTGTTATTGCAAAAAGACCTCGTGGTAGACCTCGTGGAAAGAAAAATCAAGTGCAAGGTATAATTTTTATTACTTATGTTAAGTATAATGTTTTCACCATGTTCATCTTTTACATTTTGATTTTATCTTCATTTTTCAGTTCAAGACAGATTACCGTTATTTAATAACAAAGTAGTTCTTGATCCTTCCTCCGCAACGATTCAATCATCAGTTCAGAACTGCAAATTTACAGGACCATCTGTTTTACCTTCACCTGAAACTCATTCCTTTCATGGATATCCAGATGTATCCCCAATTTATGATATTTCTCCTGTTGCAACATGCAATGGAAAGTTCGTTACCCATTGCGAGGGTGAGACTTCAACCAAGAGAGCTAAAGTTATGGTTGAACCTGAAAATCCACATACTGATAAAGAGAGCCTTCCTATTCCTCCTATGGAGGGAAATACGGACAAAACCAGTAACAGGGAAGTGAACTTAAATACCTCTAATGTATTTCAAAGTTTGGAGATTTCAACACCAAACGAGGGTACTCCTCCTTGCAAGGAAATAGAAGAGGACTGGCCACCCGTGAAATTCTTAGATTCAGATATCGATGACATTGATTTTTCAAACCTAAGAACATATTTGTCTGATCATGAAGTTGCAGCTCATTCCAAAGATAATGCTTGAAGGTGTTGTTTTATTTTACAATTATTTCTTTGTTATTTAATTAATGCTTCTTTCTATCGTTATTTCATCAATTATAGTTATGCTAATTTTGATATATTTACCTTTGCATATCATTCTATGTTGTAGTAGAATTGATACAAGGGGGTTGGGGGTAACATTATTCTATAGTTTATTAGTTTTTTTTTGTCACTAAATGATAAATGTTTTAGTGAATATTGTAGATGATTTGTTTGTAGGAGGAATAATTTGTATTAATCTCTCCTAATAAATAAAGTTTCAAATTATTTGATATAAAATTTGTAGTTATTTTATTTTATTAAGGTAGTTACAACCTACTTTATTTAAATTTGTCTTTGATTATTACAATTTATCTTACCATCTTCCATTTAGATAATTATTGTCCATATTATCATTTAAAAAAAATATAAAGATAAAAAATAATAAATTTATAAAATTTGGATAATTCTATTAATTGTTCATGATATCATTTAGATAACTATTTTGCATGTTATCATTGACAAATAAAATATAAAGATAAAAAATAATAAAATTATAAAATTTAGATAATTCTATAGTTCATGTTATCTTTGACAAATAAAATACAAAGATAAAAAATAATAAATAAAACATAAAGATAATAAATTAGAAATAAAATATAAAGATAAAAAATAATAATATAAAAGATAAAGATAAAGATAATAATAAAAGATAATAATAAGATAAAATAAAAGCTAAAGACAAAAAATGATTAAGAATTAAATTTACAAAATTAAACGCATAAATAAAAAATTATCCAATAGAAACATACGTGTAAAAAATTATCTAATAAAAAATTAATTTTATAATTATTTCTTTGTTATTTAATGCTTTTTTCTATCGTTATTTCATCAATTATAGTTATGCTAATTTTAATATATTTACCTTTGCAGGTCATTCTAGGTTACAGTAGAGTCGACACAAGGAGTTTGTGGGGTTAACACTATTCTATAGTTTATTAGGGTTTTTTTGTCACTAAATGATAAATTTTGTAGTGATTGTAAATAATTTGTTTGTAGGAGGAATAATTTGTATTAATCTCTCCTAATAAATAAAGTTTCAAATTATTTGATATAAAATTTGTAATTATTTCATTTTATTAACGTAGATATAATCGACTTTATTTAAATTTGTCTTTGATTGTTACAATTTATCTTACCACCTTTCATCCATCACTTGAATAATTTAGTTGGTTAGAAGGTGTAAATTGTATGTTAAATATTTTTTAAAATATAAACACATCTTTATTTTACACAAATTGCACGCTTATTGTTTATTTACATGGATTTCTAAAATATAAATGATTATTTACTCACTACGAGTTGATTTGAAAGGGGTTGGTGGATTAGCTGAGTTGGTTCACTAAATACAATAAATGTGATGAATGCAATAGATGTGTAAGACTGTCAAAACAGATGACCTAACTTAACCTGACTTGATCTTATGGATCAAGTAAAAAAATCTAATAGTTTAGTCTGATCTATATTTTAAAATGGACCAAATGTTTTTGTTTAACTTAACCGTATCTTAGGCCAATTGGCTGGCTAACAACCATTTTTGGCCTAATTAAAAATAATTTTTTTATTTATATAATTTTTTATTTAATTTTGTTTGAAAACAAAAATGTCATTTATTTGTATATTTAAAATTAATTCATAACCTATGGCAAAATAAAATAAAATGTATCATGAGAATGAGTTATTATCGTCATGTAACCTTGAAGAGTTATTGTTGTTCATATTAGATAATACATCTTTTAGTTTTTTCTTTTCTGTTAAATACATGTTATAAATCTCTCTAATTAAATTAAAGTGTTTCAAGTAATTGGTTTAAAATATCATATCATAAATATTAGATAACACATATTTTACTTCTTTTTTCTTTTTCTTTTTTTAAATACACGTTGTAAACCTCTATAATTGAAGTGTTTCCTGGTTTAAAATTAGGATTCAAAACTTTATTTACCTCCTAAACTCTTTCATACTCAACTTAACTAAATTGAAGATCATGTTTAATAATGCATATATCAAGTGCATCTTGTTAAATTTTAAAGTTAAATTTTTATTAGTTCAACAAACTAATCTTATTATCAACATAACTCCCACATCATGATATTTTGGAAATAGATTACATTTAAGAATATGTCATATTAAATTTTGGTCCTTAAAAACGAATGTGACGACAACAACGAGAGAGGAGAAGATAACCAAAATAAATGAATATTATATTTAGAGTTTATTATTTTTAAAATTATATATATATATATATATATATATATATATAACAAAATATATTGTCAAATTAATTTATTATACATTTATTTTTTAATAAAATAATAATACTTTTATTTTATTAGTAAAATAATTATTATTTTATAAAATGGGTCAACTTATAAGATTACGGACTAGCGTGACCTAAGTTCATTTAGGTCTGACCTAAATAGATCAAACCAAAATTTGGCCGATTCTATTTAGGTCATAAATTTTTAGGCCTAACTTGACCTATTTTTCGAATCTTTCAAGCTAGCTCATCGAGCTAAGCCTATTTTGACATCCTAGGTGAATGTAGTGGACACATTAGAGACAATGGATGCAATGGAGGCTAGAGATGGAGGATGGACACCATATAGGCAAGCATACACAAGCATATGTGATAGTGATGGTAGATGCAAAATACACAATAGATTAGACAAATGCAACAAACAACGAGCTGTGCAAGTATAACAAGGTGATTTTATTGGCTTGTAATAACATAGACACAAAACGTAAATGAATGAAAATAATTTTTTATTAAATTATTATTTATTTTTAAAAATTTTAAATTTAAATTGTATTATGGATGGGAGGTTAACCTAACCTGGCTTGAACTCGATTAAATAAATTAGGTTTATTTTGACTCATAGTCGATAAAAATAAAAAAATCAAACTCAATCAAGTTCGAACATATGATCAATCGAGTTGGCACATTACAATCTTTATTGATATCCTAAATTTAGTTAGCAATAATTATCCAATTAAGTTTTAATTTTTTAAAAAAAGTTTTAGTTTTAATACATGAAATATTAAGTAATATGTATATGTATGTGCTTTTAAGTTTCATCTATCAGTATTTTATGAAAATAATTCATCTATAAATTACCCAAAAAAAAAAAGAAAATTCTGAACTTAAAAATTGTGCACATATTTTATTAATCACAATCTTCCACAAAATCGAGTTTATTCGTAATTAAAGTCCCACTAATAAGCATACTCATTTAATAATCCACTAACATGAAATTAACTATTTATTTAATAATAATAATAATTAAATATTTAATAAAGTAATCAGTGATATAAAAAGACCAAACCAAATATTTCAATTATATTAAATATAAATAATTATTATAATTATGATATGTTAAACATATTTTATATTCTGAAAATTATTTTGGAATGTATGATCCAAACTTTATTTTTATTTATTTTGAATTATTTATTCTGAAATAATTGAAAATTTATTCCAAAATATTCTTTCTCAAAATGTTAAACTAAAATTATTTAAAAAACTATATATTTTAATTTTCTTAAAGCTTTCCAAATTCACTTAATAAATATTCATTCTTCCACGTTGTTCTACTCATCCAATTAAAACAATAATAATCATGACAATTTTCTTAAATATATAATTTACTTACTTAATGTTATATATAACATCTCAAATCTAAATCTAAGTCTTATTTATTCTAATCATTTATATCAAATTTTTATTTTCACTAGTACAAAATAGGCTTTTAACATCGGTTCTAGAACCGATGTAGATACGACCGATGTAGAAAGTGTGACTTTCCACATCGGTTGTAAGGAACCGATGTAGAAAGTCTAATATTTTTATTTATTCATAACCCTCTCTACCATCCTCTCCCTTTTATATTATATTTTTATTATTTATATTTTTTAGAAATTTGAATTATTATCGGATTAAGAGAATTGTCACTCGACAAGATTCAAACCCGAGTACCTTAGAGTCGGAAGGCTGATACTCCAACCACTAAGCTACCAAGATTGTCTGATAATAACTTATACATAAATTATATTTATATACAAATAAAAATGTATATCCATGTAAATATATAAATATAAAATATATAAATACAAATACAAATATATTTATATATTTATATGTTGGATGTGAGGACGCTAGCTCGATGATGAAAGTGTGTGTCGTGTGAATTTTCAAAATTTGATGTCAAATTTGTGAGCTGGTCTCTTTATATGGATTATAACTTAATGACAAAATATAATCTTTATAATTTATTTATATAATGATATAAAATAATTTTTTTTCTTTATTTTATATCATTATATAAATTAATTATAAAGATTATATTCTATATTGTTATAAATAAATTATAAAGATTATATTCTATCATTAAATTACAAATTCATATAAAGATACTTTGCTCACAAATTTGACATCAAATTTTGAAAACTCACTTGACACACACTTTCACTCTCGAGCGCTCTCTCACATCCAACATATAAATATATAAATATATTTGTATTTATATATTTTATATTTATATATTTACATGGATATACATTTTTATTTGTATATAAATATAATTTATGTATAAGTTATTATCGGAAAATCCTGGTAATTTAGTGGTTGGAGTATCAGTCTCCAACTCTAAGGTATTGAGTTCAAATCTTGCCAGTGACAAATCTCTTAATTTTATAAAAGACTTTCTACATCAGTTCATCTGGGAACCGATGTAAAAAGTGTTTTCTACATCGGTTCCTAACTAAACCGATGTTGAAAGTCTTGAATTCACTTTCTACATCGGTTCTTAGAGAGCCGATGTAGAAAAACCGATGTTAAAAGTGATTTCTGTACTAGTGTTTATTATTCATTTATTATCTTAAATATTGAAGTGCCATTTGGTAATGAACACCATTCAATCCATGCTAATAAATAAACAAAGTTAT